CTGTCTCTTAAAGCACACAAAATTGCAGATGGACGATGTTGCTGCAGTTGGTAAACAGTGGTACACCAGTTCTGGGAAACATTTTTGACAATATATACCAAAAGCCTTAAGGTTATCACTGCCTTTTAACCCACCATCCCACTCCTGATTATCACTAGATAATCATTAGAGGAGAGTGGTTTTCTCCCTTTCTACAGTGATGGAATGGAAGTCCCAGCTGTGTGGCTTGCCCACAGTCACACAGCTGCGAAGTAAAGGGACTAGAATCCAAGCCAAGTTGGTTCGATGGTAAAATCACACTCTCATACGCTACATTTCATGTCCTCAGAAGGATGGGTCTACAGAAATATCACAAAGGTTTAACTGTCCCTATTAGCAGAGATATAACCTCTATGTGGAAAACCCCAAATAATCAATGAAAGAGCAACTTGAACTAACAGGTGAATTTAGAAAGGTCACATATCGAGAGTCAACACATAAAAGTCAATTTAACTTCTATATTCAGGCAATGAACAATAGGGCTTTGAAGTTTTTTAAAAAGTAAAATTTATGATCAAATCAAAAACTATGAAATACAGGCAGATCTGACAAAATATGTGCAAGGTCTATATTCTGAAAACTATCAAACTAAAGTGTTAAAAGACATCAAAGAACTTCCTTAGTGGTACAGTGGATAAGAATCTGCCTGCCAGTGCAGGGGACCTGGGTTGGATCCCTGGTCCAGGAAGATTCCACATGCCACGGAGCAACTAAACCTGTGCACCAAAACTACTGAGGCTGCAAACCACTACTACTGAAGCTCGTGAGGCCGGAGCCTGTACTCCACATGAGAAGTCCTTGGACAACTGTTGAGTAGCCTCTGCTCTCTGCAACTAGACAAAGCCCACATGCATCAATAAAGACCCAGTGCAGCCAAAATAAAATTTTAAAAGGCATCAAAGAAAGACCAAATAAAGAGATAATCTATGTTCATAGATTAGAAAGCTTAATACGCAACACAGTTAATATTCTATAGCCCTTTGAATTGTTCTACAGATTCAACACAGTATTAAATAAAATTCAAATAAGGTTTTTTTAAACTGAGAGGCTGATTATAAAATTTGTATAGAAAGACAAAGGAATTAGAATAGCCAAAACAATCTTGCAAAGTTGGAGGATTTGTGTTACCTGATTTCAAGACTTATTATAAAGCTACAGTAATCGAGGCAATGTGGTCCTATTGAAAGGATAGACCCAGAGATAGATGGAAAGAAAAGAGTTCAGAAGTCCAGAGTCCAGTGGTTTAGCAGAAGTAAACCTACAGGTAGATGGCCAATTTATTTTCAACAAAGATACAAAGGTAATTCAATGGAAAAAGAATAGTCTTTTCAATAAATGATATTAAAATAATTGGATATACAAACCAATAAACCTCAACTCCATCTTACAACATATATCAAAAAATCATTTGAAACTAATCAGAGACTTAACATTAGAAAAACTCAAAACTTAAAAACTTCTAGAAAAAGAAACTGGGGAACAATCTTGGTTTAGGCAATGATTTCTTAGGACACAAAAGCACAAACTTTAAAGGAAAAATAGATAAATTGAACTTAATCATGTTTTTTAAATTTTACTCTTCAAAAGACACTATTAAGAGAATAAAAAGACAAGTTACAGATTGGAGAAAACATTTGCAAAACACATCTTTGGGAAAAGACTTGTATCTTTAAATACATAAAGTACTCCCACAATTCAATAATAAAAAAATAAACAGTCCAACTTTTTAATGGGAAAGAAATTTGAACACATGGTTAACCAAAAAATAGAAGTAGATAGCAAATAAGGATGTGAAAAATGCTTGACTTCATTATTCATTACGTAAATGCACATTAAATCCAACAAGATAACACTACACATCTATTAGAATGGTTAAGCATTTCTTTAAGTGCTGACGGGAATATGGGGCAATTGGAACCCTCATTCCATTGCTAACAGAGCCACTTAGGAAAACAGTTTGGCAGTTTCTTAGAAAGTTAAAACACATATTTATCCATGTTACTCAACTATCCCACTCCTAGCTATTTACCAAAGAGAAATTAAACACACGCACACGAAAATCCACCTGCAAACACTTGTAGCAGCTTTCTTCATAATAGCCCCAAATTGAAAACAAGCCAAATGTCCTCACCTTGGGATACAGTGGAATGCTACTCAGCCATACTAGGAATGATTTACAAACACATACGTGCAACAACATGGATGAATTTCAAAAACATTAATGCAAGTGAAAGACGCCAGACACAAAAGGCTACATTCAGTATGATTCCATTTATACAGCATTCTGAAAAACAAAGCTATAATGACAGAAATCAGGTCAATCACTGCAGGAGTTTATGGTTGGGGGGTTAACTGCAAAGGAACAAGAAGGAACTTTCGGTGGTGATGGAAATTCTTTCTGTCTTGATTGTGGTGGAGATAATACAACTATATATTAATATGTAAACTTATCACATAGTACAACTAAAAGATGTGACTTATATTTTAGACAAATTATTTCTCAATAAGGGTCTTCCCAGGTGACTCAGTGGTAAACAATCTGACTGCAATGCAGGAGACTCAGGTTCGACCCCTGGGTCAGGAAGACCCCCTGGAGAGAGAAATGGCAACCCACTCCAGTTTTCTTGCCTGGGAAATGCCATGGACAGAGGAGCCTGGCGGGCAGCAATCCATGGGTTCACGAAGAGTTGGACATGACTGAGCATGCATATACTCATGTCTCAATAAGCCTGACTTAAAGAAAGAAAATGTACACCCACAAAACATTCATTTTACATATTGGTCATCTACTATGCACCATCAATAAGATGGACAATGGTCTTCCCCACACAGAGATTCTGTCCCTCTGTAGTCAGTGTGTGTGTGTGTGTGTGTGTGTGTGTGTGTGTGTGTGTGTGTGTGTGTGTGTGTATGCCTATGGACATGGGTGTTTTGTCTGTGTGTGTCAGTATGCTTACTATTTTCATGGGTTAAACTCTTATTTCTATCTGTTTTTGTCTGCTCTCTGGCATCTTTCAATGGTTGTTTTAAAATGTCCAGAGTTTACAATTTCTGTCTGTGGAAGGATTAGCCTGATACAAGCAACTCCAACAGAACCAGCACCGGATCTAAAGTGAGGGAACATCAGTGCTGACAAAATGTGATGACTTTGAAGACAGATGGCAAATAAATCCATAATAGGCATATATGATTCAAGAGTAAGTGTATGATTCAGATATTCTTGAATTTCATGCCAGCAGTCCTGAGCACACACAGCATTGTCAGGAAATAGAAACTAATGAGTGTGTTCCACTTTTAATAAAAATATTTATTTAGTTAGTCTTTCATTTAATAAACATGAGCTGTGGTAGGGTGAGTTCAAAATGAAAATTCAGAGCTCCTTGGTCAAAGAGTAGGAGAAAAGTGCTGTTAAGGGTACATACAAAGTTTCTACTTTCTTCCATGATCTGTCTCTTGACTTACAATGCTTTTCATTTGTTATTTGGTGTCATTCTAAGTAAAGAAGTCCACAAAGAGTAGGACACGACTGAGCAACTGAACTTAACTGAAGTAAAGAAAACTACAAATTTTAAAATATTAGCATGAATTTACTGTCTTCATATTGCGTGCTTCCAGTTTTAAATGTAAACACCAGGGGAACTTCCATGGAGGTCCAGTGGTTAAGACTCCATGCTTCCACTGGAGGGGGCGTGGGTTTGATCCCTGGTTGGGGAGCTAAGATCCCACACTTGGTGCGGCCAAAAAAAAAAAAGTAATCACCAGGGCATTTAATTCATAAACAAAACCACTGAAATTACACAATTTGTATTACATGGCTCATCCAAAAAGGATGCTTGAAGCTAGCCACAGAGACAAACATGCCAGACACAGGAAGGCTGAAAGAGTAAGGGGATTCTGAGACGCCCATCCCTCCTCCCCCAGGCACACAGCCAGCTACATGAGCCCTTACCGGTTCAGGCTACCAGTGAGGAGAGCACAGAAGCTCACAGGCCCTCCACCACGTGCCCTGACCCGGCAGGTCTGGAAAAGCAGATTCAGGCATCAGGCCCAACCCACTGCAGACTGGAGATCCTCTGGAACATTTAGATCTCCATGCTAACATGCACTGGGAACCTGGATTAACTTTGACCTCCTTGTCCCACGGTCTCTGGCTGGTCACCCACCAGACCACTGTTGTGTTAAACACACGTTGGGGATTATACCTGCTGCAAGATGCCACCAAGAGTGCATGCCTGGCCCCAACCCTCCAAGGGCCTGGCTCAGGCTCCCTGCTGGGACAGAAGGTGGGAGGGGGAAGCCAGGAAGTGTCCTGAAACGTCCTGGGTACCAGGAGAGAAAGAGTTAAATGTCTGAGGACCCACCCCCGGGACATGATGGAAGGTGGGACTGCACCCGAGGTGAGGTTCCAAGTCCCAAGTGCATGCTCTATTGTCCCATTCTGTTCACCTATAAAACACAAATTCATCGATACAGTCATTAAGAATATCGAGCTGGTGACCACGGAGCATTAAACCCCAAGTGCAGAGGCCTTCTGCACAGGGTGCCGTGAGTGGCTGTTACGGCCACAAATTCATGAAGCTGCCCTGGCCAGCGCCAGAGGAGGCATGAATCGGACTCTATTCTTGATCAAAGCGTTGGGAGGCACGAGTTCGTGCAGGGCTGCTTTATGTGGTCCTGGTCAGCGGGAGGGCCGAGGAGTCCTCACGGCCGGGCGTTAGGGTTAGGGTTAGGGTTAGGGTTAGGGTTAGGGCGGTGCGCTGCTCGGGCCTGCAGACCGAGCCTCAGGCGCAGCGCCTCTGCACACGGCCCCCTCCGCCATCTTGAATCGCAGTGACGTGCGCCGCGCTTCTGCACACAGTGCGAGGACGGAGGTGTCCGCTCAGCCATTTCACTCTGGGGACTCTGGTCTGAAGGGCCTGCTGTGAGGTCTCTGCAAGAGACACCCTGTGACCAAGTGAAGCTCAACTCAGCGCCGATTCCTTCTGCCAGGCTAGGGGGCCTGGCTCCTGCCGCCACGTGGCCGCCTTCTTAGGTGGTGGCCTTCTTACATGGTGGCCGCCATGTAGGCCACCAGCTACAAGGTGGACTGACCTCCGCTCGGCGGGCGGGGCCCAGCGGGTGGGCCCGGAGGCGGGCTTTGGGGCCTGCCCGCCGCTCCCAGGGAGGGGACGGAGGCCCAGGAGCCCCCTGAGAACCGTGACACGTCTGCTGCTACCCGGACGATAAGGTGGCCAGGTGACGAGATGGAGGAAGAGCGCGCCAGGCAAGGGGAATTCGGTGTGCCGAACCGGAGGCTGGGGCAAGCCCGGCGTGCTGGAGGTGCTGAGAGAACACATCATTATTCAGAGTGACAGGCACCGCGCCGCCCCCTGGAGAGATCCAACCTGGTTTTTTACCGCATCTCAGTCTCCCATTTATTAATTACCGTGACATGAAATACAGTTGCCTGATGACCCACCTGGGACACACCGTGTCCACAAGTCTAGTGGGTGGTTCTTAGTGAAAGCACAAGGAGTGCCTGGTTCTCTCCGGTTTCATTTATAGCACGGTCTCCCCCACAAACCAGCCCTGCCTGCCGGGTTCAGTCAGGAGCGCTGCTGGCTGCCAGATGCCAAGTTAGGGCCGGGAATTCCGCCCCCCTCCCAACTGTCAGCTGAAAACAAGCCGCAACCTAAAAGTCGAGAGTTATGTTTTATTCAGCTGTCATTTTTAGGCCCTTCAAACTTGGGAGATAACATCTTAGCTCTAAGAAAACTGCTCTGAGGAGGCGAGGGGAGGAGCCAGGATATATAGAAGTTTGGGCAACAAAGGGAAGGTAGTCAGAATCTCAGAAGATTATTGCTAATTAAAGAAAACCAGATATTTCAAGTTAAGGAATTTAGTGCTTTTCTGAGTATGGGAAGATGCAAGAGTCTGGGCTCACTGAAATCCTTCCTTTGGTATGCACCTCGGCTCTATGGGGCCAGTATCCTTTGTTTTCAAATCCTGAGTTTTCTCAAGCTGCACCTTCAGTGGTGGCTGTGGTCTGATGACTGCCTGATGATGGACACTCCTCGTTTCCATCCTGAGTTCTCCCGGGTTCACTGCGGGGAGGGGTGGCAGTGACTGATGGCTGTGACATCCTTGGTTTCTGATACGGCAGGCAGTGTTTTATTTCTCGCAGCTCTTCACATGTGTTGGGCACATTTGCTGTCCTGCCCACTACATCTGCAGCCCTTGTCCCTGCAGTTCAAGACCACTGCCACAGCCTCAGCCTCGTCTCCTCCTCAGCCAAAGCTTCAGCTCCCCCTCTCCAGCCTGCCCCCATGTTCAAGGCAGGCAGGAGTGGAGCCTCTTTCCAGAAGTTCCTCATCAAGCACCAGAGCTATTCTGCCTGAACTAACCTAGACCACGTGCCCACTTCTGAGCCAACCACTGTAGCTGGGGAAAGTCAGTATATTGACAGACAGGTCAGCAGCTGGGATCAGATCTCAATGCTGTTAAATTTCCAGCTATAGGACTGTTGCAGTAGAAAAAACACTCTTTGGGGATGAGACAGATCTGGGTTTTGGTTCTGCCTTCTCTCCTTTACTGTCTATGGTTCTCTGGATCACCTCTCCATGAGCCTTAGGCCCCCCTTTAAAAAAATACAGATAAGAATATATAGAAAGCTGTAGGGATTAAACACATGCAAAGTGCTTAGAACATAGTAGGTTCTAAATAAATGCTAATTAGCAGCCGTATAAACCAATGTAGGGCATGGCAACCCACTCAAGTATTCTTGCCTGGAGAATCCCATGGACAGGGGAGCCTGGCGGGCTATTTGTCCATAGGGTTGCAAAGAGCCTGGCACGACTGAGCAACCAGGCGCCCAGGACGTAACCAATGTACTGTGTCCACACAAACATGCAGTCTTTGCCAACACTGATTCATTTTTCAGGAACACACTTCCTTCTTTTTTTAACATCTGTTTGTATTTTTTGTTCTTTTAAATTGGAGTACAATTGCTTTACAATGTTATGTTAGTTTCTGCTATACAAGGTTGTGAACCAGCTATCTGTATATCCCCTCCCTCCCAGCTCTCCTCATTCCACCTCTTTGAACAATCACAGAGCACCAAGCTGAGCTCCCTGTGCTGTACGGCGGCTTCCCGTTGGTTATTTACACATGGTGCATACATGTCAATGCATCTCTCAGTTCATCCCACCCTCTCCTTCCCCAGCTGCCCACAAGTCCATCCTCTGTGTCTCCATATCCATGGAATACACTTCCTTCTCTTAGCAGCTCATCGTCTCAAATCCCATTTCCCACATCCCATCCCCAGTGGCTACCTTCTCCATGTGCCATTTGATAGCAGAATTGTAAAGACATGGGTTTGTAGTCAGAAAGGACCAAGTTCAACTCTACTTTACTTCTGTGGGCTTCAATTTCTTCAATCAGCCTAATAATACCCATATCACAGGGTTTTATGGAAATTAAATGAGATCATTCAGGCAAAGCCCTCAGCACATAATCAATGAAGATTAGTCTTTATTATTATATGCATCCCACCATTTTATAATTATCTTTCATATGCCAGCCTCTTACACTAGAATGTGAGCTTCTAGATGGCAAGAGCTGCTGGCTCACTTTCATTTCACTGTCTCATAACCCTACCCCAAATACTCAACCAGAGCCTGGTATCAACTTGCTGTCCTAGAAATACTTGTGGGATGCTTGGCTAAAAATCAATGCTTCCTATAGGAAAGCTCACCTGCTTTCTCACTTGCCAGCTGCTTTTACTAACTCTCCTGGGATTGGATAGGCATGTCAGAAAGAGGAGAGTAAGAGGCAGCAGTGGGTACCACCCTAAGCTGCCCTCTAGTTGCTTGTCTAAAGATGACATTTATGGGATGCTGTGCCCGCAAGTCCTATTTCTTGCTCTGCAGGAATGGTTCACCAGCATCATTTTTCCAGATCCCACACATATGTGTTAATATATGATATTTGTTTTTTTTTTCTGACTTACTTCACTCTGTATAACATTCTCTAGGTTCATCCACATCAGTTCAGCTCACTCACATTTGTTCACTTTTATGGCTGAGTAATATTCCATTGTATATATGTACCACAGTTTCTTTCTTTATTTATCTATCAGTGGACATCTAGGTTGCTTCCACATCCTGACTATTGTAAATAGTGCTGCAATGAACATTGGGATTCATGTGTCTTTTTGAATTGTGGTTTTCTCAGGGTGTATTAAACTTAAAAGCTTTTGCACAGCAAAGGAAACTATCAGTTCAGTTCAGTTCAGTCACTCAGTCATATCTGACCCTTTGTGACCCCTTGAACTGCAGCACACCAGGCTTCCCTGTCCTCACCAACTCCCAGAGCTTGCTCAAACTAATGTCCATCGAGTCAGTGATGCCATCCAACCATCTCATTCTCTGTCATCCCCTTCTCCTCCTGCCTTCAATCTTTCCTAGCATCAGGGTCTTTTTCAATGAGTTGGTTCTTCACAACAGGTGGTCAAAGTATTGGAGCTTCAGCTTCAACATCAGTCCTTCCCATGAATATTCAGGACTGATCTCCTTTAGGATGGACAGGCTGGATCTCCTTGCAGTCCAAGGGACTCTCAAGAGTCTTCTCCAACACCACAGTTCAAAAGCATCAATTCTTCGGCACTCAGCTTTGTTTATGGTCCAACTCTCACAACCATACATAACTACTGGAAAGACCACAGCTTTGCTTATATGGACCTTGGTCAGCAAAGTAATGTCTCTGCTTTTTAATATGCTGTCTAGGTTGGTCATAGCTTTTCTTCCAAGGAGCAAGGGTCTTTTAATTTCATGGCTGCAGTCACCATCTGCAGTGATTTTGGAGCTCAAGAAAATAGTCTCTCCTGTTTTCACTGTTTGCCCATCTATTTGCCACGAAGTGATGGGACCAGATGCCATGATCTTTGTTCTTTGAATGTTGAGTTTTAAGTCAAATTTTTCACTCTCCTGTTTCACTTTTATCAAGAGACTCTTTAGTTCCTCTTCACTTTCTGCCATAAGGGTGGTGTCATCTGCCTCTCTGAGGTTATTGATATTTCTCCCTGCAGTCTTGATTCTAGCTTGTGCTTCATCCAGCCTGGCATTTTGTATGATGTACTCTGCATATAAGTTAAATAAGCAGAGTGACAATATACAGCCTTGTTGTACTTCCTCAGAACAGTTAGAACCAGACATGGAACAACAAACATGGTTCCAAATTGGGAAAGGAGGCCGTCAAGGAAACTATAAACAAAATGAAAAGACAACCCTCAGAATGAAAGAAAATAATAGCAAATGAAGCAACTGACAAAAGATTAATCTCCAAAATATACAAGCAGCTCATGTACCTCAGTATCAGAAAAATGAACATCCCAATCAAAAAATGGGCAGAAAACCTAAACAGGCATTTCTCCAAAGAAGACATAGAGATGGCCAGCAAACACATGAAAAGGTAATCAACATCACTCATATTAGAGAAATGCAAATCAAAACTACAATGAGGTATCTCCTCATAGTTGTCAGAATGGCCATCATCAAAAAATCTACAAACAATAAATTCTGGAGAGGATGTGGATAAAAGGTAAGCCTCTTGCATTGTTGATGGGAATGTAAATTGATCCAACTACTTTGGAGAACAATATGGAGATTCCCTTAACCAAAAAAAGGAATAAAATTACTCTGAAAAAGTGAAAGTGTGGAAGTGTTAGTCTTTCAATTGTGTCTAACTCTTTGTGACCCCATGGACTGTACGTAGCCTGCTATGCTCCTCTGTCCATGGGACTTTCCAAACAAGAAGCCTGGAGTGGGTGTGACTCGGCAATCCTACCACTGGTAGTATGCCCTTCTACCGGTATGACCCAGATATCCTACTACTGGGCATATATGCTGAGAAAATCATATGAGCTGGGAGTGGAGACTGCCCCCAGTTACAGCATAAAGAGTAGATAGCTTCAGGTCAGGCCGTAGAGACTTCCCTGATAGACAGACACTCCTGGGTCCTTAAAAAGCAGGGAGAAAAGTGACCACAGAGAAAGCAGGGCCAAGGAGTGTTCCCAGCCAGACAGAGAGAACACTGGTGGGGGAGCAGCAGCCCCAAATGAAAAGCCACAGTATGTTCACCAAGTTTCCCTCACCCACCCTGGCCTAGCTGAGGTCTCCACAAAGAGAGTGAGGACCTGGGAGAGGAGACAGAAAATCAGGATCCAGAAGGGTTACATCAAATCCAGGATCCAGCTGCCAAGGACAAACTTAACACACTTAGCTTTGAGCATTTCTGGCTATTCTCTGCTAGTCTTAAAAAAAATCCCTTTTGCAGATTAATACAATTGATAATATCCAGTGTG